GGTTTCCTGCCCTTAGGAAATGGTTCTAATAAGTTAGTACACACAGCATTTTCATACCCCAACCAATGTCTCCCAGAATTTACTAGAATCTACAGAGCCTCCAAATACTAATTTTGAATATCACAATGTTGATAAGATAATTCTATTACTGGAGGTAATTCTGGAATCCTGAAAACAGCAAGAAAAGAATTAGCCAATATAAAGCTGCCCAAGTTGGCTCAGTTCACAAAGCTTTAACACGAGGTTAAGTTACTTGTTTTTTTTAAAGAAGGATCTTTATTCTTGTGTGTCAGTTATGTGAACTGAGTCTATAGCTAGGTATACATATGACCACTTGACCTGGCCATTGGTTGAGGGGCCAAAGTTTAACAAAAATGCAATCTTTGTTTGGCCCCTCTTTCAGTACTGGCACGTCTCATTGTTGGACTGTTCATTTTAAGTGTTAGGATAGCAGTAGCAGTAAGTGTACATTTAAGGGTTAAGTGTTAGGGTTCAGGTTAATTTTTAAAGGTTAGTTTAGATTAGGCACACCGATAGGGCTAATAGTTAGGAATAGGTCAGGCTTGGGGGGGCATTTTTGCTTAATGTAAAATTTAATTTTTTTTTGGCTTTAAAGGGTCCATGTTTTATGTAGTGCTGTGGGCTGCCAGCACTTAAAGGAGAACTATGAGGTGAGTGCTTTTCACTCAGCCTCATAATCTGAGCCGACCTGTGACAATGAAACTGTCACAGGTCGGCTCAGTAGATCGGGAAGTGAGTGAACACATACCGGCGCTCGCTCACTTCTCGATCCTGTCACTGCAGAGAGCTTCCAGCGCTGACTGGCGGAACGGACGGGGTAGGGGGGCGGGTATAGCTGACTCTGCCTCTAGATAGGCAGAGCAAGCTGTCACTCACGCAGCTGGGCGGATCCAGGCATAAATGTCGGGTTCCGTTTCAGCTGCGGCGTCTCAGTATATCGCGAGCTGCAGCTTGCGGTATACTGAGCTTTGGGTAACGGGAGGAAGCTAGTTTGTGTCCTCCCGTTACCCTTCGGAGAACTATGGGGAAAAGCCCTAGCCCCATAGTTCTCCTTTAAACCTAATACATGGACGTTTAAAATAGTTAGCTGCATTTTGGCCTGCAGAAAGGTTGTATGAAGTTACTGTATAAAGCAAGTATTTAACATGCATCTGTACCTTCCACTTTGGTTTATATATATTAAAAGGGATATCAGTTGACTATGAGGGTTGCCAACACACAATGCAACAGTTGCTTTTCAGCAGATTAGGTCCAATCTATCTGATATGGCTTTTGAGTTAAGATCATATAATTTTAGTTCTCTTGGAAGTAAAATGCTGGAGGTTTTACTCCCAAACAATGGGTGAAACCAAACCTACATGAGCATCCTGTCTTTTTTTGACACAGTTCAGCTGCTGAAGAACGACAAGTCCTACTGTATCCCTTTAGCCCCTAGCTGGCAGGGCATGCTAGGGGTAGCAGCTCCTAAATAACTAGAGAGCCACAGGTTGCTTGTCTGTGATTAAGACTTCATGTAGGAGATGGTGATCAAGTGGTCTTAGTTGATCTTACCTGCTTTAACAGAGCAATGGATATGAGCTTTGGACTCATAGTAGACCCAATCAAATCCAGCTTCTACCGCCAATCTGGCCAGCATGCCATACTTGCTGCGCTCCCTATCAGAAGTAGTGATATCCACAGCTCGCCCTTCGTAGTGTAAAGACTCTTCTGAGTGGTGCCCATCTTCATCCCAGCCCTCTGTCACACGCAATTTCACGCCTGGCCACTGGTTCATCACTGAGATTGCCAAGGCATTGAGTTTGTCTTTGCATCTCTAGAGGGAAAGAGCAAACAAAGAGAGGGTAACGAGTCACTACAGAGATAAAAGAAGAAACTCCAAACCCTTGAAAGAACCTGCAGGACAAGTTTGTGGAATTTATGATGAGATATTGCTGATAATAGTTACAGCTGTCTTAAAGGCTCAGTCCACCAAAGATTCTTAATCAGTTTTTGGTTGATGCCAGAGATTTAGGTGACCCACCAGCCTCTTATATCTCTGATATAGTGGCAATATCTCAGTAACTCAGTAACTAAAGTTCCCAGCTAAGCTTTCTGCTAAACCTCTGTGTATCAATACTGCTGTGACCTGGCAGAATGGGTAGACCCGCAAAAGCTTGTCCTGAAAAGATAATTGTTAGTGTTCATGTACAGTACTCAACTGTGTTGTTATAAAGGCTGCATCATAGTAGCCTCATATGGCTACTATGACCTTATGTTTGTATATATGTAAAATGCAGCAGGTGGAATGAGACTTAAAGGCAAGAAGAAAAATCGGGAAATACAAATGGGGAGCCTCAAGAAAAAACTTTCAAGTGTCTTCAAAGAACTGCAATATCTGTTTTGGTAGATTGAATCTTTAAAGGAATTTTGTCACTCATAGATAAGCTCCTGGATATACAGCATGTCACAGTTTAAATAAAGTAACATGTTATCATGCCAATATTACAGTGTAATACAATATTTGGTGTGGGCACAGACATTTTGAATAAATATGTGTTTTTACAAAGCAGCATGACAGCCTTCTGACTTGATGAAACTTTTAGCTTCTGAGTTGAAGTGACCTATAAGGAACAGACGCATTGCCTGCTCACTGCAATGGCAGCATGAATCTACAAAAACCTAAAAGGCTTTATCTGTGTAGTATCTGTATAGTAATCTGCACTACAACTCTCTGCAACAGTCTTTTCTTGCCCACCATGTGACAGATTTGCTTCAGATAAAACATGCTTTTTCTATTTTGTCCAGCTGACCATTCCTAATCCTTGGGAGGTCGAGACTGGAACTCACCAATCTTCAGGCACTGCTTCCACATTACATAATGACTGTCAATGTGGTCAGTGTATTCCACAGCAGTGATGATCGAATCCGGAGAATTGCCAATCCTTAATTCACCTGAATGCTGGCAGGCATATCTGTCTAAACTCTTATGCAATTCAGGAATCCGGTAGATTTAGGATTCACTGATTTTATGATTGGACTTGACAAATCTGTTTGCTTACATTCAAGCAAATAAAAAGACTGCATCGTTTGTCATGATATTTTCATTCTTTTCGTTTTTTTGTACTCATTTAGTTTGGCTGTGCAAAGCCTGTTCATAATAGCCTAACATGTTCCCCCTGCTAACAGTGTAGAACATCAGAACATTGAAATATGATTGCACACTGGTTGCTACGGGTTATTACAAGATCAAATCTTACAATACAAGATCAACCATTAATTTACTGCAAGATTATTATTATTATTAATATGATATTATTATTATGCATGATTTATATAGCGCCAACAGTTTGCGCGACGCTTTACAATATAAGGAAGACAATACAATTCAAGACAAAATGGTAAAGAGGGCCCTGCCCCTGAGAGCTTACAATCTAAAAGATAAATCTATTAAGCATAGTAAGTTTTACTCCAACATACATATAAGGATCAGGACACCCATCATGTCTCCCTCTTGACTGCAAGTGGCCTGGTCTGCAACAGGTTGGATCGCCCACAGCAACATGATAATCCCAGTGCCTTATATAGGTCCCCCCCCCCAAAGTCAACTTTTGGCACATAAATTCTAAAATAGCCATGAATAACTAAGAAGATTTTCTGGGGTTAATTTACTAGAGGCAAATAGGCTGTTCACTTTGCAAGGGAAGTTGCACTTTGAAGGGGAGATTTTCCTTAGCTTGGTAAATGTGGTGAAATTTCACTTTGCCAAGAATACCCAAACACATGCAAGGAAACATGATTGGATGATGGAAGTCAGCAGAGCTTCACCTCATTCAGTAAGTTAAGGTGAAACTTCACATGCAACATTCAAATTCACTTGCATGGTGAACAGCCTATTTGCCTTTAGTATATCAACCTCCCTATATCTGTTTAAATAAACCTAACTCAGCTTCCAGTCCCTTATTTTATTTTTAACTTCCTCTTCACCCGGTTGGTTATGTAAACTTATTAAAAAGTTTACTGTCATTATCATAAACTTACCAATTTAGGATATGGTCCCACTTAGGACCATAAATATATGGTATTCAGGTTATACATATATATTTAAATACTGCTCAAAATACAACTGTACATATAAAGTGTAAGCCTATATTTAAGGCTGTTCAAGGAAAAAGTAGTATCCTATTGTGTTCCCAAGTTTTAAAGATTTTAATTTTAGCTTGCACCGTGATCATCAATACAGGTTATTGGACAATTGACAATTTATTTATATTTGAATGGAGATGCATCCAATCTATGGACAATCACAATTCAGATTTCCTAAAAATGCATGTCCTCTTAAAATTGGACAAATCTGCAATATATATAGATATATATAGATATATATAGAGCTATATATATATATTTGGGCAAATCCAAAAATGAACAGTCTGCTAAAGAACAACTCAGTTTGCTCATATATTCACATGCATTTATTATATATGTATTTATTCCTGTAATTTCAACTTGTCCTGCCAACCCCACTACTACTCCAAACAAACAGCAATGTGAATCCTCCAGATTTCAATATTCGTTTATCATGTAGCAGCCTTTCTGAGCTTTGCTGCATCGAGTTATCAGTGGTGTACAGCCAAAGGGCTTGGGAAAATGAAAGGGACCGCATCGAGGTATCTGCACAAGGTCCTGGCTTCTAAAGATGTCAGTCAGCCACCGTGCGACCTTAAAAACTCACGCCATGGACTTTAACAGACTGAACTTATGCTAGAAGACAAATGCTGTCAGGACTTTAAATGGGGACCCGGGATTTACACCGGAAAGTCTGTGGATCCTTTTCACAGGAATTCCTTGTTGAAAAGTGTCTGAAAGCTCAATGCCCTCCTCGCACACCATTATCTGGCCGGCCGTGTCCTCGCCTTGCAGATCACTCAGTAGGATCCTTAGCGCTGGAGGTATGCGCAGGGTGTAAAGTGCCATGGACACACTCGGCTACAAACTTCTATACCCGACAGGAAAGATAGCAGCAAGGGCTGGGGAGATAACAATGTTAGAATAACAGGTGACTTGGACTTTAGGAAAGGCAGTGAACAAACATTATTTATCTTGAATGTCACTTGAAAAATTTCCTTTAGTCTCTATGGCATCCATACTTTCCTTCCTATTGCCTAGTAAGATCCTGCAGCAAGTTAAATATTTCTGGGAAAACCCCGACAAAGAATATCTGAAATCAGAAATCATAACATTGTTTTCTCTATTGCAAGCTGGATGACTTTAAGAAAAGTTAAAGCCCAAAAACACTTTCCGATGAACTAATTTGGTTTGGATAAGATGATTTATGTATCAATAAGGATATAGATGTCATTAATAATAGGTCATTTATGTGCCAGTATTGTGATATGGCATTGTTAAATCGGTTAATTTAGGGAACACTTGAACTTTTAGTTGTGTGACTACAAATACCAGCATGCCAAGGTAGCCGGGCAACCTCTACTGACACCCTGTTTATTTCTAAGAAGGTGAAGTAGACCGTCCGAATAATAAACTACTAATAATCTATACAGATAAGTTATTAAATCGACTGAAATCATTCATTTTATTAATCATTGATCAATTAATAAACTCTGTGCTGATCAAACTCCCCATGAAAAGTAAATAGCTCAGGTTCTGTATTTAGAAACAATCAGTGGATGTTGTTGTACAACATTTCTTTTTTTATATTTAGAAGATTTCTATTTTCTATTTTGACTTTTTTTTCTAGTATAAAAGGATCCTGCGCTGGCTTCAGTCACATTTATTTCTCTTTTTACAAATTCTCTGGGGGGAATTTATCAAAACAGGAGCAGGCCGAATCTGGAGCAGTTGTCCTTGGCAACCAATCAGCTTTTTTTTTTTAGTTTATTTAGTTA